AACTGAAATATATGTTTCTCGTTTCTTTACGTTTAGGGATAATTTTTAGTCGGGTGCAGATCTGTTTCGTGGAGTCAACTTCTATATTCTCTGTCTTTTTGGCTATTTACAATTTGAAATGCATGTGTTTGGTAAAGAAAAAAAATTTAAGCGTTATATCTTGATAATCACGTTCCATTTCCTGCTCGCCGATTGAGCTGCTTCCTACTCACCGATGGAGTCAGCTTCGATATTTCTGTCTTTTCCTGGAGCGTGTCTTTTTTGCTAATGCTCACCGATTGAGCTGTTTCCTGTTCAGGATTTGGTTTGGTGTATTGAATCTTTTAGCAAGTGAACTACTAACATTGCAGGGCCAGTTTTTCATCTTAACTTAAAAGGGCAGTAGGTTACTCTTGGGCCAAAGGAGTTTATAGACGAGTTTAGATACTGTATATGCATGACGTAGGAAAATTCACTGATTGCTAATGCTGATGTCTTTATTGCTAGAGCTGTGTCTTTTTTGCTAATGCTCACCGATTGAGCTTTTTCCTGTTCCGGATTTGGTTTGGTGTATTCAATCTTTTAGCAAATTAAGTTAGCTACTACTATTTCAGGACCAGTTTTTCATCTTATCATTACTATATGCATGTCTTTTCCTAGAGCTGTGTCTTTTTTTGTAAATGCTCACCGATTGAGCTGTTTCCTGTTCTAGATTTGGTTTGGTGTATTCAATCTTTTAGCAAATGAAGTTAACTACTACCATTTCAGGACCAGTTTTTCATCTTACCTTAAGAAAGCAGTAGGTTACTCTTGGGCCAAAGGAGTTTATAGATGAGTTTAGATATTGTATATGCATGACAAGGAGAATTCACGACCCATAATTTTAGCCAAGTGAAATACCATGTTTGAGAAGAATTGAAGGATGGTAAATACCGTGTGTGTATTAGGAGTTAATAGACGAGTTGTAGATATTGTTTATGCATGACAAGGAGAATTCATGACCCATAACTTTAGCCAAGTAAAATTCCATGCCTGAGAAAGAATGGTGTATGGGGTGTGTGCATTAGGTGTTTATTAGATGACCACTGCTTACTTGAGCAAGGAACGTAGGAATATTAGCACGAAAGAAGGAGAACCTTTACGTTGGTATTCAGTAGCTAATCCTGTAATGAAATTTTTTGGGTATCAGAATGTGTATTGCTACATTTTCTTGTAAATGGTAGGATACATAATCTTCTGTCTGAGACATTTGCCTCATGGAGTTATGCACTTCTATGCTTTCTGGTCAAAGATATATAAATCATGTCGCATGACTAGTTCATCTTTTGTTCTCATTAACTCTTCCTATTTGTTAATATATTTCTATGTGATGTTGCAGACTAATCTGATCAAAGAAAGCATTAGAATGGGGTATAATGACTTTGGAGATTTTTATTACGCTCATGGTGCCCTTGCTGATTCCTTTAAAAATTATGTTCGCACTCGGGATTATTGCACAACATCAAAACATATAATCCATATGTGTATGAACGCAATTCTAGTCAGCATTGAGATGGGTCAATTTACTCATGTGTCAAGCTATGTCAGCAAGGCAGAACAAACTCCAGAGGCACTTGACTCTATTACAGTTGCAAAATTACGATGTGCTTCTGGACTGGCGCATTTGGAAGCTAAGAAATACAAACTTGCTGCCCGCAAGGTTTTTCAGCTTGCATTTTTTCATTTTCCTGGCTGCTGTCCAACTATTTGATTGAATGCAATAAAGCAGGCATAAGATGATTTTGAAGCATTTGTGTTTGTAATTTATTCTTTTTGTTGTAACATGTAATCTTCTGTTTACTTTTGCAGTTCTTGGATGTAGCTCCAGAACTGGGAAGTTCGTACAATGAGGTTATTGCACCTCAGGACATTGCTACATATGGTGGACTCTGTGCTCTTGCAAGCTTTGATCGGGCTGAGCTAAAGGCATGTACCCTCCTATTTTGCGCTTTTGTTCTTCGTTTCTCTTCTTTTATATCTCTTCTATGCTTAATAACGTTTTTGTGGTGTTTCCATAATTTGGCAGAGCAAAGTTATAGACAATATTAACTTCCGGAATTTCTTGGAGTTGGTACCTGAAGTAAGGGAGCTTATTAATGATTTCTACTCGAGGTAATTAGGGGTTGTTCTGCATAAATGTTTGCTCTATCTTTTGATCTCAGTTCAAAAGGGCAACATGTTTGCAAGGTAGAACATGAAGTAGACATATTCAACTTGTGTCAAGATTTTAGCCAGGTTTTGTGTGTTGACAAAATCTCTTGGGCCTATTCCCATACTGCACCAAGAATAGATAAATAAGTAAATTAAAAGCAGACCAAAAAAAGAGAATGTACATATGGTCCGAGTGTTACCTCCCGCCTTTCTGTTGGGGGGTTTCAGGTTCAAATCATGCTAGACAGCAGGAAATTACTAATAACATTTAAAAAAATTCTACAAATGAAGTGAAGGGTAAGCTATTAAAGAAGCAGGAACACTGCTGTTCTGGTTAGTAATTACCACAGGAATAAACATTGTTGTCGGTGCTCCCTCAGTGACCTTCAAGATTGGAATGTTCTGAGGTTTTTCCTAATATTCCACAAAAAATGAGTGAGCATGAAATGTTTCCTGCTTTTGCTGTAGAGTGCCTTTGGTTCCAATATAAATATGTAATGCATCCAACATATTACATCCTTACCCTTTTCTTATAAGTCACATATCTTCAGATGTTATTATGTTAACAATTTTTCAAAAGCTTTTGTTCATTACATTATTCAATTGTGTGGTTGATCTCAATTCAATTTCTTCTTTTTCTTTTGCTTTTTTATCTTGATTAAAGACGGTGAGAAGCCATCGTCTTTTGTTCCAGTTGTTTAGCACTTTTACCATAGACTTTCATCTTTGTTCCAGCCATTATGCATCCTGCCTGGATTACCTTGGAAATCTCAAGGCAAACCTATTGTTTGACATTCATCTGCATGACCATGTCGAGACATTGTATGATCAAATCCGTAACAAAGCCTTGATCCAGTATACACACCCATTTGTGTCTGTTGATTTGCGAATGATGGCAAATGCTTTCAAAACAAGTGTCTCTGGTCTGGAGAAGGAACTTGAAGCCCTGATTACTGACAATCAAATACAGGTATGTGCATATTCATTTATCTTGCAGGAATTCTCTACTATAAAGTTATTCTCATTTTGTCATGTAAGTTTTTCTAATTACTATGAGTCCACTATTTGACTACAAAAGGATTTGGTTTGATAACCTAGCTTTAGCGGCACGAAATGTTGATGGCTCAACCTACACCCAACGATTATCCCAGGTGTAAATGCGTTTGATCAAATTATCTTGGTTCTACAGGCTCGGATTGATTCGCACAACAAAATTCTGTATGCACGACATGCAGATCAAAGAAATGCAACTTTCCAACGCGTCCTGCAGACTGGCAGTGAATTTGATCGGGATGTGAGGGCAATGCTACTGAGAGCAAATCTTCTGAGGCATGAATTCAATGTTAGGTCTTCTAGAAAAATTTAAATCTCAAAATTTTCTCCATCAGGATGGAAGAGTGACCAAGATTTGTCTTGGCATGCTTCTAATGTTTCTAGGTCTGATGGTGTTAACCATGCGGTCAAGGGTAGCTCTTAAATATCTCAAAGGAAAAGAGGCTGCCAAAAGTCGGCAGATTGGAGTCTACAAATAATGATTATCCGATGATTGCTCCTTTTGTATATACTCTAAAGTTGTAAGTTGCAGTTTTCTTTTTGTTGCTTCTGTCTGTGTTTTTGCTTTGCTATGTTAGCCTTCTGTGCATTAGCTTGTACAGATGGATGGTAGCATGCCGATGAAATGATCACCAACCGTTTATTTTGTGTGTGATAGCCAACCGGCACCATCCTTCATGGTATGATGATTCATTTTCTGGTGACAAGTATCTGGAATCTGTTGGTTAGTGTGGGCTTTGAGATGAAATATATAGTGGTATAAAGATATCTGCTTGTTGAAATATGTTTCCAGAAGAAAAACTTAGAATGGTTAATTTGTATATTTAACCATTTTAAATGAATTATTTTTTCAAGAAAATAAATTACAACAATTTAAAATGAGGACTCGCATTTGACTTGTTTGGTTTTTCTCTCGCACCATTTTATTTTTATACGAAATTTATTAATTAAGATAATTTTATTACTAAAAAAATAGTAAATTGAAAAAAAAAAAAAGAAAATTAGGAGATGTCTGTCGATTATAATTAAATTAATATGTACATTTATTAATTAACAGACATCCACAGAGCGGGTCAAAAGTCACCAATATCCTTTTGGTCTTGTCCCGAGAGTATATACATAATATATACGTCACAAGTGTAAATTTGTATCTTTGTAATGGTATTTAACTGAGATTCACAGATTACCGGTGCGAATGCAAGTGTCCCTGTCAAAATTACGATGTCCACGTGCCACATTGTTAATGCGTTCTCCACAAGTTTCCTCACAGCCTCGTCACTCTACCTTCCCTTCCCAATTTCCAATCTCCTTTCCCATCTCAAGCATACACCAGTGTCTCCACTACTCCCTCCCTCCCTCCCTCCCTCCCTCCCACTCTCTGTTCACATTGGAACTCAAAATCATTTGCAGAAACCCAAATCTCCGCCATCGAACACTCTCTCTTTCTTTCCCTGACTTCTACAGAAGAAACCTCGGATATCAATCCTCACAACTCAAATGCCAAGCTAATCAAATCCAAAAATGGGTCACCTTAATCTCTCCGGGTCAAAGCGAAACCCCAGGCAGTGGAAGCTATTGGATATTGTGTCTGCGGCTTTTTTCGGCTTTGTGTTTCTATTCTTCATTCTGGTTTTCACTCCCCTGGGGGATTCTTTGGCCGCATCGGGGCGCCAAGCTCTACTTCTCTCGACATCGGATCCGAGGCAACGACAGCGGCTGGTGGCTCTGATTGGAGCGGGCCAACATCAGCAGCCCATCGAGGCTTGCCCTGCGGACTCCGTGGATCACATGCCGTGCGAGGATCCTCGGCGCAACAGCCAGCTTAGCAGGGAAATGAATTTCTACAGGGAGAGGCACTGCCCTTTGCCTGAACATACCCCACTCTGCCTCATTCCTTCTCCTGCTGGCTACAAGGTGCCTGTTCCCTGGCCGGAGAGCTTGCACAAGGTACTGTTTCGCGCTTCTATTTCTGTCATAGCGACGGCTTTGTTTTGGCTCTGGGTTTCAGGGGATCGCGGATTTGTGCTTTCCGGGCTCGGGTTGTAAATTGAGATTTGTTTATGCTTCCATATCCAGGAAATTCTTGCGGGTTAAACGTTGGTGGATTTGTAGATTTATAGGGCTACATGCTTATTTTAGATTTGGTACATAAATTGGATTCTCTTTAATTGGTCGCACCAAATTTTGGTATGATTTCAAAGTACCTTGGGTTGATATCGGGATTATTTTCCGAACTCATTCAACTCGCTATTGTTGCAGTTGCATGCCGAGGAAGCTTTCTTGTTGATATTTTGGCATATGCTTTCTGTTTCTATTCATGCCTGGTATAATTCTTCAATGTGAAAAAATGAAAAAATTCCCATGGTTAATTTTGAATTAACTGTTTGAATTTGAGCTTGATATTGCTCATGACTGGAACTCAAGAGTTAACGGACATAATTCAAACGGGACTTTTGAATATCAGAGTGGTACAGAATGCCAAAAGAAACTCATTGAATGGAAAATTCGGGCTTCATATTACTGATTTCTTTGGTTGTCCAAACTAAGCTTCTTCCTATTTGTCTTCTTTATCACCTTGGGAAAAGAATCTGTACCCAAGAATACAGATTGTCATGTAATCCTTTTAAACATCTTTGGCCAACCCTGTTGCGAGGTGGTTTTGAGATTATATTAGGGGCGAAGACACTATTACTTCTTATTGGCACTATAATGAATTTATCTGCTTTTATTAGTTTGAGTGAGGTCTCTGCATTCTTGAAAGTTTTGTTGTGTAATTTGTAGATATGGCATGCCAACATGCCATACAACAAGATCGCCGACAGGAAGGGTCATCAGGGATGGATGAAAGAGCAAGGACCATACTTTCTTTTTCCTGGTGGTGGCACAATGTTTCCAGGGGGAGCAGGCCAATATATTGAAAAGCTTGGACAATACATACCCATAAGTGGTGGAACTCTGAGGACTGCCCTTGATATGGGGTGTGGGGTAGGACTTGTTTTCTTTCATCTTTTTGACCCCTGTTAGTTTTTGCACTGTTTTTGAATATCCAAATTTTAATCCTGCCAGGTTGCTAGTTTTGGAGGTTCTCTGCTAGCAGAAGGCATATTAACCCTCTCATTTGCCCCAAGAGATTCACACAAAGCACAGATACAATTTGCATTAGAAAGAGGGATTCCAGCTTTTGTTGCCATGCTTGGTACACGTAGACTCCCGTTTCCTGCGTTCTCGTTTGACTTCATACATTGTTCGCGGTGTTTGATCCCTTTTACGGCCTACAGTGAGTTCCTCGGCTCAACTTCCATCTTTCTTTTTTTCTGCAACCTTTTTGGTACTTGAGTTTATCATCTAGAAAATTGGTTTTGCAGATGCTACTTACTTTATGGAAGTAGATCGATTACTTCGACCTGGAGGGTACCTAGTCATCTCTGGTCCACCTGTCCAGTGGCCCAAACAAGACAAAGAATGGGCAGACCTCCAGGCTGTTGCAAGAGCTTTGTGTTATGAGCTGATTGCTGTGGATGGAAACACAGTTATCTGGAAAAAGCCAGTTGGTGATTCATGCCTTCCTAACCAGAATGAATTTGGGCTTGAATTGTGTGATGAATCTGATGACCCAAGCTCTGCATGGTAATGGTCCCCAGATTGTGGTCATAGTTTCTGAGATTTTCTTTTTGAATAGAGATTTTGTGTTTGCATTTGCCTTGACTGAACAGATAATGTTCTTTTCTAGCTACTATTCCAAGAGAGCTACCTGATTTCAGGTGGGAACTGCAAATCTCATCTGTTAATTCTTTTGGCAGGTATTACAAGTTAACAAAATGTGTGACTAGGACATTTTCCATTAGCGGAGAATATGCAGTTGGGGCTATTCCAAAGTGGCCGGATAGGCTAACAAAAGCTCCTTCCAGGGCAATGGTCATGAAAAATGGAGTTGATGTGTTCGATGCTGACACAAGGCGGTGGCAAAGGAGAGTTGCATACTACAAAAATTCTTTGAATGTGAAGCTAGGAACTCCTGCTATCCGCAATGCCATGGATATGAATGCATTTTTTGGAGGCTTTGCAGCAGCACTTGTTTCTGACCCTGTGTGGGTCATGAATGTTGTTCCTGCTCGAAAGCCAGCAACTCTAGATGTAATTTATGACAGAGGCCTCATCGGCATTTACCATGATTGGTGAGTTGCCACAGGACACCATAGCTTTTCCCCTGAAGTACAAATTCAGTTACAGATTCTAAGGATTTTTTGTGCGTTAATCATCATTGATTAAAAAAAAAGCAACTATGTTTCCTTGGCTAATAAATTTTTTTATAAAATGCTCGGTTGGGTGACAATACATGGAAATCACGTGCACTCAATGTAAGTCTTGAGTAAGACAATCTTGTGTGCAAATCATTTTGTTATTTCTGGTTGCTCCTCATTTACGCAGTCGGTTCCTAAGACTATAAATGCTAGGGTTCTACTTAAGCTGGATAAAACGTAGCATATACTAGCTAGTTGCCCGGTAGAGGGTGTTCTATTGTGCTATAGTGCTGGTATATTTTTGTCAAATATTGTCATTTTCCATTTATATGTTATTTGTACTAACAGCTAACCTGCTTTGGCTTATTTTCTCCATATAGAGTAGCAAATTGGTGGACTTTCAAGAATGCAAGCCCGCAATTTATTGCATAAGCTTCGTAGTCACAATGTTTATAGTTAAAAATTCCAGTTTCCCAAAACTTTTTAAAAAGCGAGAAGAATGGTTGGATTCTGTACGTGTGGGTGCAAAAATCCTAACTGATATTGAAACTTCTATAGATTTTATAAATATATATAGCTAAAATTTAGTCTCCTATGCATGAGTTATTAGCTTGACATGAAGAATTGAGGATATAGAAAAAAATTTAGTGGTTTATTGGGAAAGGAATTACATTGACTGGAACTAAACCTGTTTTCTGTGGAATAAGCTGGCAACTTCTATGTAAAACCATCTTGGTTTTAGCTTGTCTCAACAATTTTTCTAATGTTTTAACTGTTGCTTGTAGGTGTGAACCTTTCTCAACTTATCCTCGTACTTATGATCTCCTTCATGTAGCTGGCATTGAATCCCTCATAAAGCATCCAGGTTCAACCAAGAGCAGGTACGTACAGCATATGGTCATATATGTTTCTTGAGTTCTCTTGATATTGCTGTATAATTGATGCCTAGATGGGTTAAACATATTTATCCTCTGCATAATGCATAGTACTATATTTTATCAAATTAATCATTCATTTGTTCTTTGAGTCTTGCAACAAAAAATATTAAATAATTAAGATTATCTTAGATATCAAACCTCTCTGTCTCTCCTCTTGCCACATTTCTTAAGTGTTTGGTAGATTAGAAAAATCAATGCAACCTTGTTTTGTAAACTTACTTGTGATGTTATTGCAGGTGTAGCCTTGTGGATTTAATGGTTGAGATGGATCGAATATTGCGTCCTGAAGGGACCGCTCTGATTCGAGATTCCCCTGAAGTTATCGACAAAGTGGGTCGCATAGCTCATGCTGTAAGGTGGACATTCACCGTATATGAGAAAGAACCTGAGTCACATGGGAGAGAGAAAATTCTTGTGGCTACAAAAACATTTTGGACATTACCTTCATCAACCCGCTAAGGCCCTTGCCCTACCATGTAGGTATTTTTCCTTTCTCTCCTCTTTTTGTCCCACATTTTGTTGACAAAGTATCATCTTGATGCATCCAACAGATGCAGTTTTCTTTCTCCTTATTTGGTTTATTTAGATTATTTGGAAATAGTAGGATGGTTAAAAATGGGATGAAGTACAAAAGATGGAAAGACCATGCAGTCTTATATATATTACAATACAAAATAGCAGTGGCATTGACAATTTTCAACAAGTTTTACGGGAGTGTAATTCTAACATTATTTATCCTACACCAATTTAATTGTGTTGCAGTATTCCCATTATCACTCTGTCCTTTCTTCATGTTTTTGTTTGTTTATAATTGCTGCTTTGTCTGGACCTCAATGTCCCTGGAAGTTAGACAAAACTATTGCTTTGTGTTGTTTTTAACTTTCATTCAATTTTTACTTCTAGTTCTCATATTAGCCATATAAGCATAAATTAAAATGTAGTTTATTATATTCGAGTTATTACCGCTTCACTCTGAATTCTTTAATAATGGGATTCAATTTTCACTTTGAAGAAGTGGAAAATTGTGTTATATTTACCTATTCATGTCGCTATAGACATAGTCTAACAGTTAATGTGAAACCACATTATGCTAGATTTATCTTCAAATAGCACTATTACAATGTTTGTGTGAACAGGATAATTGTTGACAGTAGCAGATTGACAGATGAGGCCGTGAATAGGCTCACGGAAAATTACATAAAACTCAATATATATATATATATATATACATATATATGTGTGTGTGCGCGCGTGTGTTATATGATATATAAAATTGTGTCCATGAAATAAAGTAAAAGTGGCCTTACAATGATAACAACATAACCAGAGTCTTGAGCTCTTGTAGACATTGCAAGACTAAAAAGTAGGTGTTACATTCAATATATAATTAGACATGTCACTTTCCTTTTGATTAGGCTAATTGAAAAAAAAAAACAAGCAAGCAAAACGTTTTACTTCAATTTCTTTTCTCTGCACAGGTCAAACAAAATCTGTGTAGGGACTGACCTAGGTAGGTCGTATCCGGGTAAGTTCGAGAGTCGAGTCGAG